TGACCACCCTTTATTGTGGTTCCTTTTTGGAGCCTCTAAAGAAAACTTTAGGCTCCCACCCTGAGAAAAGTTTACATGTACAAAACACGTTTATGAATAAGACTCATTGTTCACCATCAGCCTGCTGAGATATCCTTGGTCCTCAGTTGAGCCACTGCCCTAAAAATGGTGGCAGTAATCAAACCCTTGTTAGATGCTGGGATTCGAGTTGGACAGGCAGAGGTTCTTGAACTTTATGTGTTAGGCAATTCTGCCAGAGGTTTGGATCCAGCAGGCATGTCTGAGACCCAGGAACCTGCATTTGGAACACACCAGCGCTGATGCGGGCGACATGCAGACCCCTCTCAGAATAGCCCTGCATTGCCAGTTCATGGTTGGATATGGAGGCTGCATAAGCAGAATTGTCAAGGGGACAGGACGGTGGTCTAATGCCCAATGTGTTCTTGCCGAGGTGGCATGACAGACAAGGGAGGGCATGTGGAGCAGGTGGGCACATTCACAGGGCTACAGGTGATGCCTAGTTCAGCTCCCACATGCTCTCAGGTGAGCCATCTGTGCTTGTCACAGGATGGCCTGAGTGACAAGGAACTTGGGAGTGGTTCTGACTGCACCACCCTACAGGCAGGGCCTGGGCCAAATGACCTTCCCTAGAATATTCTGAACCTTTATCCCAACATCCCATTCCTCCAGCCCTACTGACTTGTCTTTCAGTCTTGCCCAAGCAATGCAGTGCTAATACTTTGTCTTTCTAAATGGTCAAAACCCTCCCACTCTTCTTTTTTCTTCCTCTGCCCCTCAGTAGTTTGCAGAATCCCAGCAGCTGAGTGCCAGGCATATGTCAGAGGATGAAGCAGTGACAAGGAGACCTGGCAGTAGTGAAAACCCAGTTGTGACAGCATTTCTGATTTTCAGTGTTGAGGTATTGGGGATCAGCCCTGTGAAACTTGGTCCTGCCAAATAGTATGGACACAATTTGAATGAATGAGTTGATGTCGCTCTAGAAAAGGAGGGGGTGTATGTACCTTGTACCACCAGACAACTTTGTAGTTGACTTGGTTTTTAAAGGGTCTTGTTAGCGCTTTGGGGATAGAAGTGAGGCAGTACTCAATGCTTTCCTGGCTTTCTTGTGATTCTCATAGAAGACAGTGTGCTGGAGATCTGCTCTAAACACTCGCATCATCATTTAATTCTTACAACCCCAGGGCCAGCGTCATCTCTGTGTTACAGATGAGGACACTAACGCTCACGTATCGAAGGTTACATATCTATACATGGCAGACTTGAGGTTTGAATTCAGGAATTTGAATTCTGGTTGGCAAAAACAAAAACAAAAAAATGCTCAGGCCTTATTTTTGAATGAACATTCACGGAACAGAAGTAAAGCCCTCCCCTCCCCAGCACACACACACCCACCCCATACCATGATTTCCCCATCATGCTTCCCAGGACAGAGAGGAGACCAAGGGAGAGCAGGCAGCATTTCTCTGTACAGTTTTTAATTTTTTATTTTGTGATGTTGTTCAGATGAATGACACACTCAAGTTACAAAAATGGGGCCTTAAAAGAAGCACATTGTACAATGAACAAGCAGATTGGAGTTAAGAACACTGAAACGCTAACCCGCTACCACGAGAAGAGACAGGAAGGGGGTACGGGGGTACGGGGTGGGAAAGGAGGGGCTACCAACACAGGGGTCAGACAGAACTGAAAGGGGGCTAACTTGGTGAGAATGGAGGAAAGGCAGGTCTCCAGGGCCTACTGAATTAAAATTACTGAAGGCTACTTCTTGGTCTCCCTTGCCCACTACTTGTCACCTCCTCCCATCCCCATTCCAACCTGGTCATTCAAATGAGTAGGTGGGAGACACTCACCCCAACGTCTGAGCCGATCAGATCTTTACCTGGCGGGTGGTCACCTTGCCCTAGCTCAGCCTTGGATTTGGGAGGTGACGGTGGCAGCAGTGGGATGAGAAGCCAGGAAGAAGTCAGCAGAGAGGAGTTGATCAAAGATCAGGCCCCAGCTTTTCCCCAAAGACTCCTCGTTCCTTCCCCACCCTATTATCCAAAGGTCCTCTCGACATGTTGTTGAGAGGCCCCCAGTCACCCTGCAATTATATAAATAAATAAATACTGAGCCCCTGGGCTTGAAGGACGGGCTGGGGGAGGGGTAGCAGGGATGGAGGAGAGGAGCGAGGAAGGGGAGGCAGAGGGAGGGGTCACAGACGTAGTAAATAGTTGTCTCCGTCCCAGCAACACTTCTCTCTGGATTTTTCTCTCCTTTTTGTGTTTAACAAGGAGCTAACATTTCAAGGACAAATACTTAAAAATATACATTATTTTTTCTTTTTTTTTTGTTTCGCCTTTGTCATCGTCATCTTGCTTTGGAGACTGCTGAGGTCAAAGTTCAAACCGCACGAAGGAAAGGCGGCTTGGAGTTTTTGTGTATTTTTTTTTAATTTTTATTTTTAAATTTTTTTCACTTTTTTTCCAACGTATAAAAAGGTAGCGGAGTTGTCTGTGGGTTTTATTTTTTTAATGGTTAAATCTTTGGTTTGTTTCTTTTTTCTCTTGGAGGCCTTTATCTCTCGCACTTGCCTTTCCCACTCAGAGGCCAGTGGGGGCCCGCGTGTCTCAATCTTGCTCAGTCTGTCTCACTCTCTCTCTCTCACTCAGTTCCCTCTACCCTGGGCTAAGGGGAGAGAGGTACCCTGGGATTTGGGTGGGTGAGGAAAATCGAATCAGGTTAGAAGGTCACCCCCCATGTGGCTGGTCCCTTACCCCATCTTCTCAACGTAAGGGGCTCAGAGACCCCCTCTTGACACTCCCCAGGGAAGAGATACGTAAGAAACTTCATCCTTCCCCTTCCTCCTGTCCTTAGCCCCAACTAACAGGGGCCTGGGTTCCCCGTCTCCACCCACCCCCACTTACACCCCAGTCCCTCCCTCCCAGAAGATAACAGAGAGAGGTGCTGAAG